ACCAGGAGAAAGAGAAAGGGTGAGAGTAAGCAACCTTGCCTGACACCGGTCTTCACGTCGAAAGAGTCTGCCAACTGTCCTCCGTGAACGATTTTGCAGTTTAATCCATCATAAGAATTCCGTATGATGTTGACAATGTCGTCAGGTGTGCCATAGTGTCGGAGAAGCCTCCAGTAGGTTGTCCTATCCACACTTTCAAATGCTCTCTCGTAGTCAATGGAGTTGATGTAGAGTGGTGAGTTCCATTCAATTGATTGTTCCACGATGATCCGTAATGTAGCAATTTGGTCAGTACATGATAGATCCTTACGAAATCCGGCCTGTTGATCTCGAAGTTGGGCGTCTACGAAGTCTTTCATTCTGTTTAACAATACCCTGTTGAAGACTTTGCCTGGTATTGAAAGAAGAGTGATGCCTCTGTAGTTCTCACACTTGCTCAGGTCGCCTTTCTTTGGTATTTTGATGCGGTATCCTTCTTTCCAATCTGATGGTACTTGTTCCTCATCCCAAATCTTCTTGAAGAGGATGTGAAATATTTTCGCAGTTGCTTCTACATCTGCTTTCATTGCCTCTGCTGGAATGTTGTCTGGTCCTGCTGCTTTGCCGCTCTTGATTTGTCTGATTGCCATACTGATCTCCTCAATCGTAGGTGCGCCAATATTAATTGGGAGGTCCTTGGATGCTGCTTCGATGTTGGGTGGGTTCAGTGGAGCTTTTCGATTCAAAAGTTCCTTAAAGTGCTCTACCTACCTATTTCGCTGTTCGTCAATGTTGCTGATTATTTTCCCTTCCTTGCTTTTCACTGGTCGTTCTGGTTTACGATAGTTCCCGGCGAGCTTCTTTGTTGTTTCGTACAATTGTCTCATGTTTCCTTCTCTTGCAGCCTTTTCCGCCGTCATTGCTAGATCTTCCACATATTTTCGTTTGTCAGCTCTGATGCTCTTCTTCACTTCCCTGTTTGCTTCTGTGTATGCAGCTTGTGCGTTAAGGTTCTCTGCTCTTGTTCGGCTGACATTCACTGCTGCCTTCTTGTTCCTCCTTTCTTCAATTTTTGCAAGAGTATCAACAGAGATCCATTCCTTGTGATAGTACTTCTTGTGACCCAGAACTTCGTGACATGTTGGAGTGATTGCCTCCTTGATCCCTTTCCAACTGTTCTCCAATGTTGTGTCCTCTCCATTGAGTAGATCCTGAAAGGCCTGGAACCTATTGGTGAGTGTTATCTTGAATTCGTTGAGTTTCACGGTATCCCGAAGAAAGGCCGTATTAAGCTTGTCCAGTGCTTCTTTAGTTTCGGTTTCATTTTGGTGACCATCGAGTTGTAATCTGAAGCTATATCAGCTCCTCTCTTGGTTCTCACATCCTACATAGTCCTTCTGAACTTTTTTTGATATAGATATGGTCAATTTGGTTTTGAGTATTGTGGTCCGGTGAAATCCATGTGGCTTTGTGAAAGCGTTTGTGCAGGAATATTGTGCCACCGATGACCAGTTTTTTGCGAATCTCTCACCGTTTTCGTTCCTTTCACTTAGTCCATGTCATCTCATGATGTCTTCATATCCAGTGTTGTCCATTGCAACCTTGACATTCAGATCTCCCATAAGAATCGTCAAATCCTTTGGTGAACATTTATCGACGATTGACTGCAGCCTTTCGTAGAATCGATCTTTAACGTCATCATTGTAGTTGCTGGTAGGTGCATGGCATTGGATGACGTTCATTGTAATGTCCTGTTTCTTTGTTTTGAAGGATGCTTTGATGATCCTAGGTCCATGAGATTCCCATCCTATCAGTGCCTTTTGTGCATGTTTGGACAGCATCAATGCAACTCCTTGTGTATGTGAAGCGTTTTCCTCTTCATGACCAGAGTATAACAGCAGTTCCCCTGAAGCTAGTCTCAGTTGTCCTACCTGTGTCCAATGCGTTTCACTGATGCCGAGCACCTCGAGGTTGTATCTTTTCATTTCTGCAGCAACTTGAAATAGTCTTCCAGTCTCCCACAATGTACGAACGTTCCATGTACCTAAAAAAATGGTTGCTCTGGTTGTCAGAAGAGGCATCGGCCCCGTGACTTCCGAGGGAACTCGGCTTTCATCACGAGACGTCATAATTCTTCTTCCAACTCCCAGGGCAGAGTTACAATGGTTTGAATTATTTCTTCTGGTTAGCGTTTTTTTGGCTCCTAGAAATAACCTTATCCTCACCTGAATTTTCACGAGTAGATCTTCTACCAGGTGGCTCGCTTATTGACTTAGAATACGCCGATGACATAGTCCTACTTGGTGAAGACGCTGACAAAATGCAGTCTTCTGACCACCCTAAGCAACAATGCAAGCATGTTCGGAATGCGGTTTTCCCCGCCGAAATGCGAAATGTTGCTTCAAGATTGGGTTTCATCGGCACCTGAACTAGTGACAGGGAGTGAAGTAGTCGAACGTGTAGACCGCTTCACGTATCTGGGGAGTCTCATCAGTGCCGATGGCATGGTGACTAATGAAATCTCAGCACGGATACAGAAGGCTCGATTGGCTTTTTCAAACCTGCGTCACTTATGGCGTAGGCGAGACATCCGTTTACTGACTAAAGGACGAGTGTACTGCTCAGTAGTTCTCTCCGTCTTACTTTATGCCTGTGAAACATGGCCAGTGAGAGTAGAAGATATTCGTAGGTTACTGGTTCTCGATCATAGGTGTCTTCGAAGCATTGCTCGTATATCGTGGGACACCCGAGTCAGCAACGCTGTTATTAGGAATCGGGTACTAGGTAAGAATGGCAGATCAATAGATGAAGTGGTGAAACTTCATCAGTTGAGGTGGTTGGGACATGTGTAGCGTATGCCTAACCACCGACTGCCTCGTCGAGCTTTGTTTTGTAATGTAGGAATAGGTTGGAAGAAAGTTAGGGGCGGCCAAACCAAAACATGGCAGAAATCCATGAAGTCATTGACGAGTGGACTTAGCCATGTCGGTAGTTGTCGACTACCTGGTTTGGGGTCCAGGAGCTGATAATAATCGATGGTTAGATACCCTGAATGACATGGCTCAAAACCGTTTGCAGTGGAGCAGGTGCATTTATTCTTTGTGTTGTCTCAAATCCTAATCTTCTAGATCCTTCAACCCCTCTAGTTTTGACTTTCTAAACTTTTCTCACTGAATCATATTTCTCGAATATCTTCTAATCCTAACCTCTCCGATTACTTCTAATACCTTTACTACGTCTTCTACCATTGGATTTGAATTGACAGTTATATCTCTGTGCTGATGTAGTATGGCAACATGAACTGATGTACTTACGTACGAAGTTCTACGTTGCATCTGACTGACTGACTGAAATCGTGATTTAGAGGGAGATAAATGATGAATGTATATATCCGTAACAGCACGCGAGACCAAATCGGTCAAAATCAAATCCTTCCAAATGTAGTTGGGGTAATGTAAGTGGTTTTGAGCCATTCAACCATAGATTATAATTAGCTCGTCGATCTCGACTGGGAATTCGGAACCGAAAACGCAGTTCAAGCCAGCAGTCAATAACATCATGTATTAATAACATCTCGTGATGCGGTTTATCATATTATCCTGACGACTTAGTTATTTATTGTCCTAACTAGTAAGTTAACTCACTGTTCGTCTCAGAAGGTTTCTTGTAAGTAATTTCAGTTTTCCAGTTTCACCGACCCGCGGTTGGTGTTAGCTGTTTAAAAGTAATGAGATTTTTGATTAGATTGAATTTGTTTCGGGAGTAAAATGAAATAGACCTTTTATTCATATTGTGCTTTGATCATTTTATTGAGTTTCACAATTTTTTGATATTGTTTATTTATCAGGTGAGCTACCAACGCCAAGAGCACATGCTAAAGGCGGCTTTATTGGAAACCTACTATATCTTTACGGAGGTTGTCAGAGCTTTCATAGAGCGGGATCAGAACATACGGTAATAATTAATTTAAATATTTTCCATTGAGTATGTATATATAAATAAATATAAATCCACATATAGGATTTAAGTACGATTATTTTGTTGGTTTGCTCTGGAGTCAACACGTTCCACTTCTTCAGAGGTGGTGTTGGTGCAACTCAAAGTTCTAAAGTGGAACGGGCATTTCCAGATTAAAATTCAATTAACAGCCGCATACACTGTCGGATTATATGGAGCGGCAAGATCCTAAAAAAATCGGAACAGGTTATTATCTCTGCCTCTGTTCCCACCAATTCATTCATTCTTAATCCAAGAAATTGGATCAATGGGAGCAGTTCGACTGCCCTTCACACTTCGGTCACCCACAATCTATATTCATCCCAATCAGCAAGTTGATGTAAGTCCTCCAACTCTTACTGAGGTTGAAAAGGTTATAGGCAATCTAAAGCGTGGAAGACAAATCTATGAAGTCACTGACAAGTGGACTGTGTCATGTTGGTAGATGTCGGTTACCTAGTTGGGGTCCTCGAGATGAAAGTCACCAATGGTTAGAGACCTTGAACGACAAGGCTTAAAATCGTTTGCGATGGCGCAGGTGCATCCATTCTTTATCTTCTCTCAAGTTCTAATTTTCTGAATTTCTCGTGACTTTTCCTCTTTCCAAATTTATCTCACTGTGATATACTTCTCGAATGATATCTTCGATCCGTAATCTTTTCAATTACGGTTAATACTGCTACTACATCTACCACTGTAGGACTTGAATCGACAATTCGATCTCAATGTATGTTAATTTGAACTGATGTACGTACGTACGAAGTTCCACGTTGTAGCTGTCTAACTGACTGTTCCCATTTTATTCAACTTGGATTAAATAAGAAAAACTTTCTGACTTGTTCCGTAAGCTGGGTGGTGGAATGTTGTTATTGTGATGACTAATTTCCACATCCTAGTAGGTAAGTTTAATCAAGTTGAAAGACGCGTATCCTGGGCTTCTGTGGTCTCCATCCCAGAAAATATATAACGATGACTGTCTAAAAAATGGTATACTCAAATAACCATTTGTTCCTATTAGAGACCAACCTTCAACATAAAGAGGCGTAAATCGTATCTCAAGAAGATGTCAGTCAGTCAACAACAACGTAGAACTTCGTACATATGTACATCACTTCAAGTTACCATACCATTTTCATTTAAAAAAATAGATGTCAGCACTCTTTTTATGCTCTGATGTACGTGTTTTCTGTCGCATTCGATGTCATTCAGTCACGTTGAGAAAACGTCTTTTCGTGAAGAGAATATTTAGGTAAAAAGTAAACGGATTTTTGGGATGATGGGAAACAGTTGTTAATATGACTGTTTAGTATATGCTTCTTATGGTAATATATCAATTTTCATTAGGTTAACTACGCAAGGTAAGTGGTAGATTCACTAACTTATCATTAATAAACCTAAACAATGCATTTCTAGCAACTCATTTATGATGGTTATAACAATATTTGTTTCTTGTTCAATAAAGTACAGATTTATAGTACTTTTTGAGTACTAAAAGTTTCGGAGAACAATGATTACAATCCATTTCTTTTAAAAATTTATCCAGGGTCGTATGGATTGGTTAACTGAGTTGAACAGTTTTGATATTTCAGCAATGCATTGGTCACGTGTGCCATTATACGAAGTACACCACTCACTTCCTGTATCACCACCTGCAATTGCCGGCCAGTCTGGATGTTTCCTCCCTAATGGTAAAGTAGGCGAACCTAGTGTATTGGTTTTATTCGGAGGAATGTGTCAGTCTCTTGGACTATGCGTCAACTACTTATATATCATATCTCCAGAAAGTGGTCGTTGGATTTCACTTTCTGATACATCGAATAATTGTCAAAGTGATTGGCCGTCCGGTCGATGTGGTCATTCAACATGCGCTCTTGATTCCAACAGAATGCTTTTGTTATTTGGGAACTTAGAATCACCTTTGGCTAATAATCATTCTGTGCGTCGACAACAGGGAATGCCAGTTGGTCCTAATTCGAATAGTGATTCTGAATCAACTTCTGGTTTACTTAATTATCATGGTCGACCGGCAAAGGATATATGGATACTTACACGTTGTTCACCAAACATCGGTCAAGGTTAGTCATTCTAAATTTTATTCGTCAATCGCAAATAAACTGATCTCGTTTATATCAAGCCTTATTACTTCAGAGATTCTTTTTTATCAACTTCAATACTTTTATGTAGTGCAACTCAGTTTTGAAAGTTCTAGTAAATGTATATAACATGCATAGATGTCTTCTTTTCACCTAGTAATTATTAAACAGTTGGATTCTGATATTTAGTCTCTAAGTCAGCTGCAACATGGAACTTGGTACGTACGTACTTCAGTTTAAGTTGCCATACCTTATTAGCATACAGAGATGTGATTGTCTATTCAAATCCTACAGTAGGAGAGGTAGTAAACGTATTAGCAGTAATCGGAGGGATTAGGGTTAGAGGATATTATTCAAGAAGTAGAATCTGGTGAAATAAAAGAGAAGCTAATACTTTAGATACTATTAGTGGAACTGATTCCTCTGTGACTGTTGCAAGAGGATTTTCGTCCTTTCTTATAGACAGGACAATCAGTGATTGAGACCAGTCGGATGGGATCACATCTAGTTCCCAGATTCTACGTAAGATCTCAGTCAACCTAACTGCTAAAACTGGACCACCATCCTCAACAATCTCAGGGATTAACCTATCAGGGCCTGCTGCTCTTCCTCGGTTTAGATTGCCTATAACCTTTCTCACCTCATTAAGAGTTGGAGGACTTATATCAACTTGCCAATTAGGATGAATGGAGATTGTGGGTGACCGAGGTATGGCTGAAGGGGTAGTTGAACTGCTCCCAAGAGTTTTCAGCCCATCACTCCAATCTCCTGGATCGATAATAAATAATAAGCCCATCTTTTTCCGAGACAGTCTCACTAACAGTCGGATTTTTATTATCGGTTTCCTTGATAAGTCTGAACAGTTGTTTACTGTTACCTACTGTCTCTGCTTTTTCTATCTCTTTTGACTTCGCTATCCACCATTGTCCGTGATCATTGCGTAGGTTTATTACCAGACTATGCTTAAGCTGACTCCACTCATTATTATCAGATCCAGGTGGGATGAGTATCTGAGCATATGTCAGTTCAGCAGATGCTACTAAAATCCACTGTTTCTCCCTAACCTTATGGTTTACCTTACTAGCAGTTATTACTACTGTTTTCACAGCTTTTTGGACATCATTCCAAGCTTCCTCGGGGCGAACATCGTTTATATGGTTATCTGACTTTCTCTAGTTCTCAAAATATACTCGACGTTTTTGTCGTTAAGTAGAACTGTAAGTGGTTTCCTTACTGTCTTTTTTACACACAGTGAGCCGCAAACAAATACGTGTTCACATTGAAGCATGGTCTGAATCTAAACATGTGCTCCATAATGAGTGGCAGTCTTCTATCGTATTTCTCTATCGGTGGCTGATAGTAGTATGGTCTAGTTGTGTCAGCTCTTGGGTCGATTTTGGGGGCTCCATGTCAAAAGATGTTCCTTATGTTTAAAGTTGGTATTTGCAAGAAACAGGCTGTTATCTAAGCATGATTGCAACTGACAGTCGCCATTATCTTGTTGTTGAGCTGTGGCACCGTATGATCCACCCAGGCATTCTTCAGTTTCGTCTAATCTACCTGCTTGAGCATTTAAGTCACCAGCCACTATTACTGCATCAGAACGCATGGCTTTCTTAAGGTTGAAAAGCCTCCGTAAAGTTCACCTTTCACCTCGTGTGAGCTGCATTCAGTGGGAACGTAGTAAGAGGCAACGGCGAGTGTCCCTCTTTCCGAGTCCTTACTGTCCCGTTTAGTTGGATAGTGTACAAACGACTATCTACTGGGATCCAGTCGAAGAGAGCTAGTTCTTCCTTGGGACTTACTTCTATACCTACATCAGTGAGGCCACGGGAAGCAGAAGTGGCGTTTTCAGATATATGAAGCATAAATTGTGGTGGTTCTTTATGTTGACATGGTGAAGTCAAATGAATGACACTACTCTGATCCTGTATGCGCGTTGTGGAGACGCGGTATACATCATCCTAGCCTGTAGTATTATTTGGCACAAGGTATTACAAACATTATTATTGTTGTCATGTTTCTCAACCGTAATCTCAAAGAAAACCAGAGTAGTTTTAGTACTACTTTGATCAGATTTTCACGTGAATGTACTTCAATAACTTCTCAATTCATTATAATAGCAACTTATAAAATTGCACATCTAGATATATCCGGAATCAGATATTGGATATTTGTTCGTACTATTTGCCGAAGTACATCAACGGTCTTTATTTCCTCTCTAGGTTTTTAATGTGTGGTAGTGAAAGAAAGATATGATTGGTCATCACGCGTGGACAAATAGGCATAGCCTATTGACTCTTCAGTGTGTGATTCCGTTTCATCTTATTGATTACTCCGGACTCACTGAGTGAGTGACTGCTTGTAATTGTGTTATGGAATAAATTATTGTCTATCGCCTACTCTGATTCTCCATTTCGGTCGTGAATCGTGTCCCGACCGTGTATTGTTTAACGTGATCTAGTCTCTGCGTAGTGTGCCGTTCGAATATCCAATTCAGTGGTATTTGATTAAGTATTAATCTAAAAAAATATGGTTTCAATCCTTGGTGATGTAACTTTCTTCAAAGTTTTAAGCACATTTCGACAAATGCCTGACGGCATAGCTTGTTGTTAGCAACTTACTACTATTCAAGATCATATATGTACTACGCTATCTAGTTATTTAGCTCCGTGTTCACAATGTACGTTTTTCTCGATAACTTTGAATCGTCATCTAGAAACGTGTGGTGATTTTCTTAAATGTATAGATGCGAATCTTTCGTTTATCATTATTTGTTCACAAATTACTTAAACGGCTATGTAATCAGTCTATGATGAGTACCATTTCTTTATTTTTAGGTGTTTTAATTGATTATGTTATACAAGCTTATGTTTTGAAATGGCTTTCATATATTCTTCTAATAGTAGTATTTGGAAACATCTTGTTACCGTCATTGAAACTAGATATGCTTTAAGGAACCGTGCACCTTCGTAATATACAGATTACTTGGTTAAATTTTAAATCATACTTTTTTTTGGATTCAGAATGGTTTGAAGTAAATTGGTTCTGGACCAAAGTTCAGTGTTCTGAGAGTATCTCTGGATGTCCACCGATAGACTTTTATCATGCAACTGCAATCGCGCTTCCTTATCGTGAAAACGGTAAATCACAGTCGTCGGCAAAAAACAGTGATTTTATTCCTGTCCAGAGTGACAACGTTGGTACAAACTTCTCAAATGAACACAGTGTTTATACTGTTGTTGTCATCAGTCAACCAACTACAGCACTGTTGGATGAGGCAGCTAAACAGCGTAGATATTGGCAACGCATCAAACTCAACTCCGAGTTAAATAGTATGCCTTTTCAAAATAATTCAGTAGGTCAAGATACTCGTATGTCAGATGATGATGCTATTGACGAGGATGAGGAGCAGCGTAAACACTACCGTTCAGTCGATATCACTGGTATGAATATTTTGATTTTGTACTACTTTGAATGTATGAGTCATCTACTAAGTTTTTTATTTCCATTCTTATCATGTTAATCATGTGGTAAAGCTACAAATATTTTCTATTGTTAACTTAGTATATGGCTTCTGTCTGTCACAATCCTAGCTAAATGCATAGTTTGAGATCTCACTACTAGATTTTATATAACCTCAAATGACTCATGTTTAAAACGAATACTCGTTTTATTGTTATTGTCTCTTTTACTTTAATTTAGGAATTTTTATAATTTTATCGTACATTTTGGTAACAGTAAACAGACTTTTACTTTATTTCGGAGTAAGAATTTTTAGGATTCAATGATTAATTTACATGTTTCTTAATTGCTAAGATGAACAGAATAATGATTGAAAGATGATGCACAGTAGTACTATATGGCCAACTGATAGCTGCTCAAATCGAATTATTTACGTAAACTAATACCACGAGACTACTAACCAAAAAATAGCGTGGTTCTCCAGTAAGACGATGTGTTGATAAACAAAATAATGAACATGAAATAATGTGATTAGATGTCGTTGAACGAATGAGTAATTGAAGAACACCACTTTGGTAGGCTATTCAGCTGCCAATGAATGATGAGGGTTATTCTTTGTCCGTCATATCACGCTCACAGAATTGCTTAGAATATTAGTTGTTTAAATAGATCATACTAATGTATATTTCAGAGCCGATGATGAAATTGATCTGTATGCTCATTCAGGCGTTTACGTTTGTTTCCTAAAGATTACTCAGTCAGTCAGTCAGTTGCAACGTAGAACTTCGTACGTAAGTACATCAGTTCATGTCGCCATACTACATCAGCACTGAGATGTAATTGTCAATTCAAATCCAATAGAAGAAGAGTTAGTAAGGGTATTAGAAGTAATCGGAGAGGTTAGAATGAGAAGATATTATTCAAGAAGCATGATTAAATGAGAAAAGTTTAGAAAGTCAAAACTAGAGGTGTTGAATAATCCAGAAGATTAGGGTTTGAGAGAACACAAAGAATAAATGCACTGGCGCCATTGCGAACGATTTTGAGACATGTCATTCAAGGTCTCTAACCATCGATTATTATCATCTCGCGGACCCCAAACCAGGTAGTCGACAACTACCGACATGGCTAAGTCCACTCGTCAGTGACTCCATAGATTTCTGCCATGTTTTGGTTTGGCCGCCCCTAACTTTCTTCCAACCTATTCCTACATTACAAAACAAAGCTCGACGAGGCAGTCGGTGGTTGGGCATACGCAACACATGTCCCGACCACCTCAACTGATGAAGTTTCACCACTTCATCTATTGACCTGCAATCCTTACCTAGCACCGGATCCCTAATAACAGCGTTGCTCACTCGGGTGTCCCACGATATACGAGCAATGCTTCGAAGACACCTATGATCGAGAACCAGTAACCTACGAATATCTTCTACTCTCACTGGCCATGTTTCACAGGCATAAAGTAAGACGGAGCGAACTACTGCGCAGTACACTCGTCCTTTAGTCAGCAAACGGATATCTCGCCTACGCCATAAGTGACGCAGGTTTGAAAAAGCCAATCGAGCCTTCTGTATCCGTGCTGAGATTTCATTAGTCACCATGCCATCGGCACTGATGAGACTCCCCAGATACGTGAAGCGGTCTACACGTTCGACTACTTCACTCCCTGTCACTAGTTCAGGTGCCGATGAAACCCAGTCTTGAAGCAGCATTTTGCATTTCGAGGTCCTAAAGATTACTGGATGATTTTAGTACGTACAGCTTGTTACTTGCTGAGTTTTATCAAAACTTTTAATAATGATACTGTGCATAAAGTGAGAACAACGATTGCTACAGAACAAAATTAATTTCTGTCACGTTCATCGTTCTCATTTCATTCAATTTAATAAATAGGAAAAAACCATGTAACTTTGGGTTATCCAAGCTGAATGGTTCATTTTATACGCTTAGTGTTCTCTAGTTATATGTCTTTAATTATGTGATCACAACAGTGAATTCTGACCGTATTCTCAACTATTACATAATTTCTATCTTCAGTGGTAGTATTACTAAGTTTATTCATAGTAAAGCATATAGTTTCCTTTAGATGGGTTTAACCCATAATTCGTTTGGCGAATCACATTGTTTAATTGTATTTGTATTGGGTGGTTGTTGAAACTCATATTATTAAACCGTTTGTTTTATCATTTTTATTAACATTTAAAATAACTCGACCTATATTCTCGTTATTAGTTTATAATCTAGTGTTTCTTCCATAGATCGTGAATCAAATCGAATCTTGCATCTACCATCATCTAAGCGTGCAAATAACAGACGCGCACGAAGACTTGAAGCTTTAGCTATTCAAGAACGAAGGCTTTTTGGAACACGTAATCTGACCTCTAATGAAAGTAATGCACCATCACTTGGCCGATCATTTTCATCAAATCAATGCCCATCCAATCATAACTTATGTCTTTCTAAACCTGTACAATTCGAATGTGCTTATCGTCCTTTGGCTTTGTACACACTTAACATCGTATGCTCTCATTCCGATGCTTCATATAATTCTGAAACTAAAATTCATGTCACAGAAAATAAAGCAAAAGGTGTTTGGTTGGCGCCTACCAAACAAAGTTATCTAGATCTTTATTTTGCACCACCTGAGTGCCTAGGTTTTTCATGTGCCTTTGGTCATGGTTGTTTATTTCTTTTCGGTGGTTTGACTGACTCCGATGACATGAGATCAAACGAAAATGCATTTCACCCATCAATTAACGCATCGCAGAATCGTGACGATAATGACTTATATCAACGATACAATGATTTACCCACTTCTCAATTGTCCAGAACTTCAGTATTAAATGGTTCTCTTATACAGGGACATCTTAGTTCTGGTACAAATCCACCAGATACAGTTTATTCCAGTCCTCTAGGTACTGCACAGTTTTTCATTCTTCGTGCACGTGCTCTTGCTGGCACTATAATTTAATGTGATTATTTTTACCTTCAAGCTATTTACAGCATGTGAACACGTAGCACAGATTTCTGCTGTATATTTCTATAGGACTCACTAACCAAATGCATAAAGTTATCTTGTTTGCGTTTAAACTATTCTAGCTCTGTCTAATTTAAGACAACCCAATATTTAGTTTTCTCAATATGTATTAATTAATTGAATGTACATAAATTTTCCAGTGGTTGTAAATAAGTCGCTTTCTTTTGACATGCAGTTACGTTTGGTTAAACATTACACATACACAAGCTTTTTATCAACTAACAATCACATCATTCATACTTTGATTGTAATATGTGCTACTTGCGATTGAGATTTTATTTTAATCTGCTAAGATTGTAAATTTAAACTAGCCATAGTTTCCCTTTTTTTTGATACTCATTGTCTCGTTATTCTGAAAATCTATTGATATCGATTAATCATGTAATTGTATCTTAATAAACAGGAAATCTTCTTAGTGATATTTCTTAATTTATCTGTTCTAGGCGCTACTGCAAAATAAGTTTACAAAGTTTTATCAATTTGTTTTTCGTCAATAAGTTCAAATTGGTTTGTTGCAACAAGATTTAATACAGACAAGAGGTTAGATTGCAGTGGTGTTTGGTTCTCTGAGCTGAATGTTTTGGTTGTGGAGCTTTCATTGTTCTTCTGAACAACATCATCTGTTTATTGATCCTATGTCACTTATGATTTCTCTGAATGGTTGATAAATTGGATCAATGTCGATATGTTTGTTGATTGCTGATTGACCTGAGTGCCAAGCTTCTAAAAATTCTCTAGTGTTCTTTGTCCTCCCCCTACCCAGTATTTCCACATTGTTCCAATCGAATGTATGTCCATAATTGTCAGTGTGTATTGATGTAAGCGAAGAATTGTCGTGGCGTTTGACTGCTAATTAGTGTTCATGTAAACGCAGCTGAAGAGGCCATCCACTTTGTCCTATGTAGTGTTTTTCACAGTCTGAGCAATTTATTTTGTAGATGATATTTAATTTTTCTTCATTTGTTATTTTGTTCTTTGGTCTACAAAGGATTGATTGAAGTGATTCTGTTGGTTTGTGTGCCACATCTATTCCAAATGGTTTCAGTAGTCGTGCTGTATATTCCGGTATGTCTTTTATGTATGGTAGGATGATCCGTTTATTGGTTCCTGTACTTGATTTCGCTTCTGTTGACGATTTCAGTTGATGTTTTTTTGATGAAGTTGCGTGGATAGCCGATACTTCACTTTTATCTGAAGATTGTGCTGATGGTGTTGTTCAGAAGAACAATGAAAGCTCCACAACCAAAACATCCAGCTCAGAGAGCCAAACACCACCACAGCCGGAACCTTTGTCAGGTTCGAGAATTAAAATATCTGGTCTTCTACCGAGCTTCTTTAAGGCATTGAAAGTTTTGATTGTTAAAATAGTCCTGTCTAATTTAGTAACCGTGAGATTTCGGCGTGAATTATGGAAAAGTTAAACTTGATTATTCTAAATGTATAGCGCAAATACGTCACATTTTTCAGACGAATTACGTCTTTTCATTTAATTTAACATTTTTAAAAGGGACTAATTGTTTTGAATTTAATAATCCGTCAAAAACACTCAATATCAATAAATATCGCAGTGTTTTGGTTATGATGGTGACTATTGATATGAGACATTCGATTTATATAGATATATATACCAGATCATGATTAGTATTTTTCAGATTGTCGTATGGCACTTCGTTTTTATTCATCTTCACTAACGCTACTTGTAAAAGCATTTCTCTTCCAGCTTTTACTTGAGGTTAATAATCGAGTTTCCTTAATTGATATTTTAATCTTGTATAAGGACGTTCTTCATGAGGAAATGAAGCAGTAAACAATTATATTATCTCCACTCACGAACTAAGGTTGATTTATGACTTTAGAATGATGACTGGTCTATACTCTTGAGGAATTGCATAACTCAAATTACCAGTTGAAACTACTGTATTAATAAAGTTCCATTTCAAAAGGTTTAGGTCATGAATTCTATGTCTGAATCGGGTGTGTAGAAATAACTTTTTTCCTATATGAAAATGTCAGTCACTGACTAGAAAGTGCACTTGCAGCTGAACATGTGCAGACAGTTGAAAGTACTGAGTGTTGTCATCGAATGGAGTTTACAGATCCCTTTTTTAGATCTCAATTAAAGCCTTTGTCCATAAACCTGAATGATGGGAGGTGTAAATGAGGCTAGTGATTTGATCATTTTTCTACAGGAACTAAGTGCCATTGCTCAGTATTAGTCTTGAAGGTGATATATAATTATAAATGGAGTGATGTTGCGTGCTGTCAGAGATGAACGGTGATCGTCGCTTCCCAAACACCTACACCGTAGAGCGACTTGTTCTTGAGACATGAAATGGAAAGTGGGTCACGTGTGGTCTTGATGATCCGAGGATGAGACCGCAGTGTCTAAGAGACAACTTCCTGAGGACCATCACACATGGGTTTTCGTGTATAGTACTCTCGGTTTCCTACCGCGGGTGATGGAACTCTGTGGGACGAGGTATGTTAGTCTCAGAGTTTATCTTCACTAATTAAGTCCTTCCGTTTCGGGAAGATAGTATAGCGGTTGATACTGACCGTCGACGCAAATCCCTGTACAATTGGGAGTGCGACTTAGCCGTCGAAACATGATTTTACTACCTTTGGTCTTACAGCTTGTTAGTGGGACATAGATGGAATAATGTATGACTGCGTTAGCCGCGCGCTGATTGGCTAATTCATATACAATCAGCTCCTGATCGATACTCGTGTTGTTAGCTGCACACTGATCATGTGGGTTAGATTCCAGAAGCTTCTCATGTAAAAACTGTAAAGATACTAACGTTGTTTTCTATTTCGCCTTCGCTTCGGCTTCTTACTTTCATTTAACCTTGCTATTTGGAATATAATCTTTTCCTGTTCATCCGTGTTCTGATTTGGGGACTTGTCGAGTGTATTGTTGTCAGAGAATACTAGGCAATAGGAATAGCTGGGTTTACTAAGAGAGATTTATAACAAAGCTCTCCAGCCAGCCTATCTGGCACAGTGGAACCCAATGAAAGAAATATTCCAACCAACATAGTTCGATTGAGTCATTACCATATTGCAAGCCTTCACACCACTCAAGGGTAGCAGATACAGTAGGAGTGTTGTTAGAAAGTATAGCGGTACTTTTAGTTCATTTTATCAATAACAAACCAGGCACTACAATGCTCGTTATTCCTGCTTCTCAAAAGTGGATCAAGAGAATTTCAAAAGGAATTGACCCGAAACTTATCCTTATTCTTACACAGCATTACTGTTTTGTTTATATCTCTAAACTTAAAAAACCGACATCTTGTAACGATCTCCATTTGAACTACATAAGCACTTTACAATTCCTGGAGTTGGGTTCGCTAACCCGCCAACTTTCGCGGTGTAACTTTCATTAAATGGTTATTTTACGTCCATATTAAGTGCAGTTGTATGGGCTAAATCTGAGGACGTCTCAAAAGTTTATGGTATAAAAAATGAGAACATGCACTCGGTTGGTTTCGCTGGTTACTATTTCTGAAACAACTCACCAGTGGTGACTAGAGCACCATTCTTTTTTTTAGACATGAGCAAGTCCTAGAGGGTAGTTTTGATATGTATTCAGATAAATCAGTAGTGAAGATGGCTAGTGATGATACTGTAGTAATCAAGCTACGTTAGAAGTTGGTGCTAACTAATGAGTAAGCGCAACTGGGTCTCGATTTAGTGCTCAAGTGTTGACAGTCCTAGTCTGGATTCATGAACGTTTTCGATTATGTTCCATGCAACGTCAAGGTGTCGGACTAATGAAAATCAGTTTCATCTTAAACCTGCTGCAAGTATAAGAACTAAAATCCCATATTAAAGATAATCTGTGAAAACTATAATTTTTCACCTCTGTAGTAAATGTTTCGAAGAAGTCACGAATACGTAGGTTCGAAATCTCTTCTGATAACAATAATTCTAAAGCCAATAATATCAGGAGTTAAGAATGATGGTCCATGAGCGATAATTCATATTAAATATCGGTGTACTGTATAGTGTCGAATCCAAACTGATTAGTTGTAGATGCGTTTACGGTGTACCCACACATGAGCTCGTGCGAGTGAATAACTCATTGCCCTTAGCTAAGGTAAAGTCCAACGAAATTAGGATCAACACCCCTGTCACAGACTTACCGAGCTACTAAGAGTATTTAACTACCGCTACAGCCTTATTTCTATTGAGTATTTTGTCCGTTGGTGACTATAAAAACTGGATTATGTTGATGAAATCTGTATAGGTCATAAAATTTTTCAGGTTCGGAAACAATGTACTTATTCTCAACACCCATGATTATATCAATGTTTGACCATTCTATTATTTTTAAAACTACTGAAATTGTATAGACGCTTCACTAAAATGGTTAGTGTCTCTCGGAGCACAACCTACTTCGTTATCCTCTGGTTCTGACTATGGTTTAGACTGTAGATAAGAAATTGAGTTCTACCAAGCAACTATTAGAATATTTCATGAGGATTATAATTTTTACCCATAGTAAGACTGAAATTCATATCTCCAGGTGTTTTGTATAGCAGTGAACATAGTTGTAACTCCTTGATTTATGTACTCGACTAGCAGCCGGTGGGTTGTAGCTCGAACAACTTGTTATGGTAAAAATAGCATTTGTACGAATCGTGAAACAATGGCTTAAGAAGCCTAACATACCTAACTGTTTACTATAACTTTACAAAACTGAACCACCCAGTTTGAGTTTGGACAATCGAGTAAGATCACTAACCACCATTTTCGAGATGTTAATATCGGGAGCACAAATTTACTTTCTATCAATGCGTTACATGTACTTCATAGAGATTCAATCCACTGGCATCTGTCAGCTTTTAAGTTAATCACTTGATTATAGTTATGGTTTTAGCAGTCGCCTTTCATAACAATTTATCAAAACTATTATTTTATGAAGAAGA